CCCGAACCGCAAACCGACTGACTATTTACGGTAAAGTGATTTTTGAAACCACAAACCGACTGATTTTTGCAGTTTACCGCGCGGTAAACCGCAAAAATTGGTCGGTTACCGTGAATTAACGGTTTAAACCGATTTGAATATTTTGGGTCTAAATTAGACAATTTTAGATCTTTAAGTGTGGTTTTTTTGTGTTATAAAAATTCAATTTTTCACACTTTTAAGCCTAGGTTTGATGTTTCTTTTGAAGCTTTTTGAGTTCAAGCATACTTTAACCAAAAAATATAAATTCACAACCTAAAGAAATAAATTCACAACCTCAACTTCTCAAGCATATATAAGTTTACAACCTAAAGAAATAAATTCACAACCTCAACTTCTCAAGCATATATAAATTCACAACCTCAACCTCAACTTCTCAAGCATTCACAACCTAAAGAAAAATTCAATTCAAAGTTAATTAAAGTTACAAACCAAAAGGAGAACTCAAGTGTAGGTGGTGGTGAGTGGATTTTATTATAAGAAGAAGCCATTTTTTTATGAGTTGGAGTGGAGATTGTGTTTCGGGTGTATTGGTTTGTATTTGGGGTATTAGAGGCATTAGGTGTGTTAGAGTGGCTAGACTCCATCTATAACACAACACAACACAAAAATAACAACATAAAGCATATTAATAACAAATTAAACTTAACCAAATTAAAATACAACATCTACCTACTAAAATGCAATTAAAAAAAATATATATTTGCGGTTTGCGGTAACCGCGAGTTGCCAAAATCACATACCGCAACTGCAACCACAATTGCGGTTCAGTTTCTAAAACCGCAATTTTCGGTCGATTTTTAGCTATTACGATTCTAATGCGGTATAATGTCGGTTGATTTTTGCGATTTTTCAGTTTTTCGATCTAAAATGCCACCCCTACTTTATCATATTGTACTTAACGGTGTTGCCAACGAATTGCCAACAAAGGTGTTTGGATGTAAGATTTTCGTAAATCTAGTCATGTCTTGAACATGATCATGCGAAAGGCCCGTAAGGGGATTAGGAAGTGGCGTAGAGTTGGCAAGCTCTCTTTTTCGGGGGAGCTTCTATAATGAGGATGCTATTTGAGGAGTTTATTTGAGGAGGCCCATCTCACCATCAAAAGGGGTGTGGAGCCCC